GAACCGCGGGGCGGGGACTGGGGGAACCGCCCGGGGCGGTTTCCATTGCCCAGCCCCTTTAAGCTAGAGAGTAAGAACCCTTCTAGGCAGAGCCTAGGTAGGGAAATGGGGGGAAGACAAAAACCCAGAAAATATGGGAACATATGGGGAATCGTTTTATTTGTGTGTATTTATTTGTGTGTCCTGGGGCCCCTTCAACGACGGCGACGGCGCTGGCGACGGCGACGACGACGACGACGACTGCAACGGCGACGACAATGACGACGATGACGACGACGACGACCATGGCGACGGCGATGGCGACGATGACGACGACGGCGCAGGACGACGACGACGGCGACCGCGACGACGTCGACGGCGACGGCGACCATGAGGACGATGGCGACGGCGTCGACGGCGCCGGCGACGGCGACGACGACGACGACGACGATGGCGACGGCGACCACCGACGACGACGACGTCGACGACAGCGGCGGCGGCGTCGGCGGCGGCGATTGCAACGGCGACGATGACGATGACGAGCGTCGACGGCGACGACGGTATTCTCTTCCTCTCCTCCTGCCCTTCTCTCCCTCCCCGTCCTGCTGTCTTGCAAACGCTAGGGTCGATTCATGCGCGCTGTTCAAGCACCCGTGAGTATAGACTCGCGGGTCAAACAGACAACATGTCGTCAACGGTGTGCGTATCGTGGCCTCTCCCTCGGCGGCCTCGGCGGCTGTGCTGGCGCTGCTGTCGGACGCCGCTGCGGCGACTGGATCTAAAGGGAGTCTTGCGTTTCCCTGGGCCTCGTCGTCGTAACCACCGAGGGGGAGGAGGTTGTCGTGGCCGTCGAGGAGGATGAACAGGATGTCGTCGTCGTCGTCGTCGTCGTGCGTTGTCGCCGTCGCTGTCGACGTTCTCGTCGTCGTCGTCGTCGTCGCTGTCGCACGTCGTGCGTCGTGCATCGTCGTCGTCGTGCGTCGTGCATCGTCGTCGTCGTCGTCGCCGTCGTCGTCGTCGTAGTCCCTCGTCGTCGTCGTCGTCGTCGCCGCCGCCGCCGCCGTCGTCGTCGTCGTCGTCGTCGTCGTCGTCGTCGTCGTCGTCGTCGTCGTCGTCGTCGTCGCCGCCGCCGCCGCCGCCGTCGCCGTCGTCGTCGTCGACGTCGTCGTCGTCGTCGTCGTCCGTCGTCGTCCGTCGTCGTCGTCGTTGTTGTCGTCGCCGTCATCGTCGTCGCCGTCGTCGTCGTCGTTGTCGTCATTCATCGTCGTGTTCGCTGCCGCCGCCGTCGTCGTCGTCGTCCTCGTCGTCGTCGTCGTCGTCGTCGTCGTCGTCGCCGTTGTCGTCGTCGTCGTCGTCGTCGTCGTCGTCGTCCGTCGTCGTCGTCTGGCGTCGTCCGTTGTCGTCGTCGTCGTCGTCGTCGTCGTCGTCGTCGTCGTCGTCGTCGTCGTCCGTCGCCGTCGTCGTCGTCGCCGTCGCCGTCGTCGTCATCGCCGTCGTCGTCCGTCGTCGTCGTCGTCGTCGGCGTCGGCGTCGTCGTCGTCGTCGTTGTCGTCGCCGCCGCCGCCGCCGTCGCCGTCGTCGTTTGCGCCTCATGCGTCGTGCGTTGTCGTTGTGCGTCGTGCACAGTGGTCGCCCGACAGCAGCGCCAGTACCGCCGCCGCGGCCGTCGCCCCCCTCATTGCCGGCCACACGCAGAAGGGGGTATGGGGGAGGGGGGCAGGCCTCTTAGAAGCACTCCTGCTTCTGAGAAAGCGTGGGCCTCATGGAAAGATGTGCGGCCGGCGCCTTCTAAGAAGCTTGCCCCTCTAAGAAGCTTGCCCAACTCCCCCTATTCCCCTGCTCGGCCCCGAGTCCCTCACAGATCGATGCGGTTCGACTTGCGGCGCAGAGAGACAGATGGGGTCTAGGGCCCCAGTCGTAGTTTTTGTTGTGTTTGTTTCGCGACGTCGGATCTCAGGGGAAGGCTCGAGTTCGGCGGAACTCGGGGTTGTTGATGTTTTTTGGCGAGCCCGTCTTTGAATTTTGACGGCCCAGTGCTCGTGGGATGTCTGCAGCGGGAGCTCGCGTCAGATGCCAGACTGGGTCTCGTCACTTTCCTAGCGGCTCCGTGGGGCCAACCCGAGTCACCCGAGCTGGAGTTTTACGTCCCCCCGAGAGGCCGTGGAGGAGGCTCTGGCATTCCTGGCCGGCACGGGCGCCGAGGACGCGGCGGTGCCGACGGCCCCCGCCGCGGCAGAGGAGGCCGCGGCGGAAGTCGCCATGAAGGATCGAGCTTCTAGGATCGAATTTCAAGGAGTTTGTGCGTCTGGGGCCTTTTCTGAGTCTCCTTGAGCGTCCTCGTCGCCACGGCTGGATTCCCTTCCACGTTCTGGTCGGCACGCACCCCAGGATGGGTCTTGGACTGATTTCGGCCGCCGAGCCGGGAATCGCGACGAAGACATGGGGTCCTGAGGGAAACGGGTCCCGAGTTTTATCGCTGTTTTTGGCGTACTGGAGGCCTCCACGGGCCCGCGGACTCGGGAATCGGCTCGGGACGGAGATCGCTGTTCCAGGGAGGAGGATGAGGAGGAGGAGGAGGAGAGGGAGGAGGAGGAGGAGGAGGAGGACGAGGTGGACGAGGAGGACGAGGTGGACGAGGAGGAGGAGGAGGAGGAGGAGGAGGAGAAGGAGGAGGTGGTGGAGGTGGTGGAGGAGGAGGAGGTGGAGGAGGAGGAGAAGGAGGAGGTGGTGGACGAGGGGGATGATGATGATGAGGAGGAGGAGGAGGAATACAAATAATACGACTTCTATCATTGATAATAACTGTAAAAAGGAACAGCAATAACAACAATGATAACAAGAAGAGGAGGAGGAGGAGGAGGAGGCGGGGAAGGCCCCGGGGTCCAGGGCCCGCTTTTCTCAGGCCCCGTCTCCCCCTGCGACAAGGAGCGGCACCACCCAAACACACTCATACGATGCGCCTTGGCCCTGCAGGGGCGACGGGCACGCTCGGAGATCTTCAAGCATAAGCTCCGCGGCGGGTTCTTTTTTGGCCATGCCGCTCGGGAGACGAGATGCCACGAGAGCATGTGCTGTACAGTGGAGACCATGCAAAGAAACACCCTGCTTGCCTCCAGGGTGCCCTGGGGTTCTTGGCTTTCGATGTTTTCGCCATGGAAAGCGTGACGTTCCCACACCAAAAATCAATTGACGTCCTGGGGTCTCAGGGTTGTGTTTCTTGTGAAAGGTTTCTTGTGGACTGGCCTTCACTTTATGCTTGGGTCGGATGTGCGTCTTTAACAGAGGCACGTAGTACCATGCATCTTTGTGCGTCCCAGAGGAGGCCTCCCCTGGGATCCGACGCGGCGAACACATGCAACACCGCAAAATATCGCGTGATGGCCGCCGGGTCCGAAACCAAGGGGAAACCGCCCGGAGGGAAAAATTGGATTGCCCGGTTCTCAGGGTCCACGCCAAGGACTTTTTGCGGCGCACGCAGGCGGGATCTGGGGAGGGGGGAAGGCTTCTTAGAAGGAGGCTGCTTCTTGGGAGGCGCGGCCGGGCGCGGCCCCTACATCTTTCGATGAGGCCGGCCCCGCGCCTTCTCATTAAGAAGCAGGGGTACTTCTTAGGAGCCTGCCACCCTCCCCCTCCCCCCCTCCCCGGACATCCGACGTCTCGATTTTTTCAAGACAGGGGCCCCCGACATCCAGGCCACTTCCCCAGGACCGGTTTTTCAACCCGAGTCGTTTTTTGACGGTCCCGAGGCCCGGTGAGGGCCCCGAGGGGCCGAAAACGGGGAAAAACCTGCCCGATTTTTTCGAGACGCCAGATGTCTGGGCCTGCGCGAGGCCGAAAACGAGGGGGCGGCGGCCGTGGCGGCGGTGCTGGCGCTGCTGTCGGATGCCGCCGCGGCGCCCGCGGCAGACGCCGCCGCGGCGCCCGCCTGCGCGCCGGCCGCAGGGGGCGGCGAGGCGTGGGCCGCGGCGCTGCTGCGCGCGGCGCTGTGCCGCGCCCTGAAGCGGCGCGCCGCTGCGGCCGAGCGCTTCGGCGACGCGGCGGCGCTCAAGGCCGCGGAGGACGCGGCCGAGGACGCCGCCCGCTCGCACGCTGAGGCGCAGAGGACGGCGGCAACGACGACGACGACGACGACGACGACGACGACGACGACGACGACGACGGACGACGACGACGACGACGACGACGACGACGACGACGACGACGACGACGACGACGACGAGGAACGACGGACGACGGACGACGACCGACGACCGTCGACCGACGACCAACGACGACGGACGACGACCGACGACCGACGACCACGGGCGACTACCGACGACGACGCCGAGCACGCCGCTGCAGATGTCGCTGCTCGTCCTTTGGGGCCCTCGCTGCCTGGGCTGGGTTCTCGTCAAAGTTTCTGGCCAGAATGCGCCCCAGGGTATCGGCCTGCGACCACTTGCGAACCCTGCCCTGAGGGGTCCAATCGACGCTGGGGTATCGGACAACTCCGCTGGGATTCAATTGGCCGCAGACATCTTTCAAATTGTTGACACTTCGCGTATCCCCACCAGTCAAGTGTTATCAGCAGATGTCAGGTGCTCATCCGCGCTGCTGCCAACGACACCATGGCTGGTGCCTTTGGTGGGAATGCCTATCTCAGGTCCGAGAGCTCTGAATATCGCATCGTTCCTGCCACGGCATCCAGGGACGGAGCACACAGGGCACCCCAGATGCCGCGAAACGTACGAGAACACTTGGACAAAGCAAGAAACCAGGAGACCAGCCAAACGCATCGTGCGGCTATCCACCCACACGTTCTCGCCATTCAATCCATCGATCAACACGGAGTCCAAATCGGTCAGGAGCAGCACCGGTACATGTGTAGCGACCTCGTACAACACAGTAGCGAACACAACGACCGCAGTCGCAGCCCGCGCGGTCAAGGTAACCGCACGTACACCACCTCCGTTGGCCAAGGCAACATACGGCTTTTGACGCGGCTGTGGCCACATATTTGCTACCACGAACCCACCAACGCCATGCAGCCCCCCCCAAAATCACCGAAGACTGGCTGTCGGAGAACAGTAGCCGCTTCCTGTCTTTTCTAGGCGACGGTCACTGTGAACCGTCGCCTCCTCGCGGGAGACATGACAGCGAGGCCGCGCGACGAATGGAGCTCAGCCTCTGTCCAGGGGAACTCTCAGTTCTCGCCATCGCAGCCGGCGGCAGTCTCATAGTCACCACAGCAGGTGAGCGTGCCGTGCTGCACTATACATTGCCCTCGTGGACCACCGTGGCTGTCCCTTCGGCAACGCAAAACCAGTCGGCCAACAACTCCAGTTTTCGCCCCCTCACCACCACTGAGGCCTGCCTGGCCATCGGCCCTGTCTTCATCTTTTTGCACCCACCGAGACCCCACCCAACACGCCCACTCCTGTCCAGCTTGGACTCAGCCTCCCTCCGACCCTCAGCACGTCCAAAGTGACAACCAACGTAGCGACACCCAGCCTTCCCCCGAAAGAGGCCCCGCGCGCCCAGTTGTCGATCCGTCGCTCGATGCCCTGTTCCCCGACGCCCGGCGACGATGCCCTCCCCCTCCTGTACTTGTCCCTGCCCAGGAAGACGCCGTCGCAGCGGCTAGAGCCCTTCTCAACCAACATGAGATTACGCTCCACGACCAACAAGTACATGACTTCGCTCGAGCAATTGTTGGACGCTTGGAGATAGAGGAAAGAAGAGCCGCCGCAGGAAGCCGGATGCATATATACTGCTGGGGCTTTTTCACCATACTCTGGTGGCTCATTCAGCAGACTGGCCCCATGCGGCTCAAGAGAGACCATGCATACCAACTGCTTCAGGACCACGAAATCACTGACAACTTCTATAAGCAAGCACCGTTCCAGCAATGGCTTGCGCCAGCTGGTGAGGGTGACCCGCAATGCACGTTCGATCTCTTCCTTAACTTCCCTGGAGCGCGGGGGGATCTTACACTGGTCACGTCCCACTAGGTCGCGGCCAACGTAGAAGAGGCCAGTACGGTCCTCAACGACAGAATCAGAAGCGCTGGCGCTGCCGACCGACGACGCCCCGACCCACGGCGCGCACCCAGACGCAGGATTCAGGCAAGTGGCCCCCGCCAAGTCCATGCCTCCACGACTCAACCCGCACCGCCGACTCAGTCAGTTCCCGCCCTCGACGCGCGGCCCCGACCTTCGCAGCAGCAACCTGTCATCCCGCACCGATGATTCGGTCAATCCCTACCCCCGCCATACAGCCCCGACCTTCCCAGCAGCGACCTGTCACTCCCGCAGCTTCCTCCAGAGTGAGCGTCCCGACCTCTCCGGGAGACCGTGCCATGGCGGACGTCCCCCCCCGACGTCTCCCCCGCCGCCCCTCCCACTCCCGCTGAACCCCATCCACTGCATGGCGACCCACCCCCCTCCTCGCTTAACAATGGTACGCAAACCACCCCGCAACCCCCGGCTGCCTCTCCCACCCAGTCTCCAGCAGCCGAGGCCTCCCCTAACGGGAGTAACCCTGCCACCTCTGACCAGGTTCATTCCCTAGCTCCCAGCTCCCAGGCCACGGGCTCCTCGGCACACGCGACGCAGGGCACTGATCGAAGAAACAGATTGTCGCCTCTCCCTGGCACAGGCGAGATTGATCCTGAGAAAAGCCCATTCGGCAGGGCCGGCGGAGGTCCAGAAGGACTGAACCTCCACTGCACCATCAACGCCGAGTGGAACGCACTTCTCAAGGACACGAAGCGCTACTTTGGCCCTTTGACAGAGGAGGTTAAGACGCCACAGTTCAAGGACAGAGTTGAGAACATCAGCTCCTCAAAGGACTGGCAGACTGCCATGCCGCTCCTCATCTGGGGAACCACGATCGGCCTACTCCGCGCACCAACCAAGAGGCTTCTCGAGCAATTTCGGCTGAGTGAGGAAAATTTTAATTTGCTTGACAGCCATTGGAACGAAGCTCGCCTACCTGGACGGGGTGCGGGGGGCGACCCATATCATCATAACTCCAAGCCGAAGTTGGCGATCGACAGCGACTGCGGCATGCTTCGGAACAACCCTGGCGACCCCACCTCGCCAGACGAGCCTTGCTCACTACTGCCCTGGGCGACCGTGCGGGGGATTGCCAGCCAAACTGCTCTCAACACCGGGGCGCCACTTCTACGTGCAACGAGTTCTACAGTTGGACGACAAGAACATCCCAACCGACAGGCCGCCACAACCAGCCCCAACCCCCTTCGCTAACGGCGCTGCTGCGACGTTCATGCCGAACATTACCAACCCCGCCAATCATGATGCAACCCAACCGGAAACGCCAGTCACAGTCACGGGCCCCTAAAAGAGGCGCGCAGCCGCCAATCCCTCGTCAGCCGCGCGCATGACGGGCGGCAAATCGGATTCCATCGCCCGCGAAAGCACCAGCGCGAACAAACCGGGCCCCAAGGGTGGCTCGCGATTAATCAGCTGCCACGCCGACTGAGGCGGATAGGCGCGGGGCGAGACGTCTTGCCTCAGCTTTGGCACAAACGGTGCTTTCTCCGATGGCCAAAAGAGCGGCGCGACCAGCCAGCAGAGCGGCGTCAGCAAATGCACGTTCGGTGCGACAACGGCCCGCCAACGAGGTCGTCGAAGAACTCAGCTCTCCCCCGAATCCAAGCGATCTGCCGCAGTGCGCCTGGTCGAGACACGCCGACCCAACCGCTGGAAGAGCACCGGCGACACCCGAGGACCCGATACCTGTCGCTTACCCCCAGGCAGGCTTGAACTCGCAGATGGTCATAGACGCGATTCATGACCTCGCCAGACAAGGGGTCTCTGTAGCACGCGACATCGGGGTACACGACGGCCGAGTGACTGGCCAGGTAACCCCAGCAGCGCAAGCTTCCACGAGCGACTTCCAACCGCGACCTGACCCAACCATTCTCCACAATGGCCAGAACACAGGCGACCTCAGCGCTTTACTAACCAATCAAGGAGGGCGACAGGGTCGCCCGCTGCATTTGGTCTCTTTGTTTGACGGGTGGGGGGCAGCCAGGTGCGCAGCGGGGGGCCTACTATGCATCGAATGGGACGCGCTGATCTCTTCTGCACCTCCAACCTCGTAAAACACGACATCGAATGGGTCACGCGGCACTGGGGGCGCCCTGAGACACGGGCGCGGGACGGCGGACCGCCGCGCCGAATCCTCGCCTCGGACGTGTGGGACCTCTTCAGGAGGACACAGGGTGCTGCGATGACGGTGTGGGGACATTTCGTCTCCACCCTGGAGCCCAACGCCCTCCTCCTGATCGTTGGGGGCAGCCCGTGCAACAATCTGTTACGCGCAGGACGGCCTTGCCGGTGACAAGTCGGTCCACTTTTTCGGTATTCCCCTGGCGTGGTCCCTCGCCAAATGCTACCGCAACGACATCACTACACGCGTGGTTTTTGAGAATGCGGGCTCCACGCGCAAACCGCACTGGGAAGCCATGCAGAGAGCCATGGGCGAGGTCCCAGAATCGACGCGGGAAAATGGGTGGTCAGCCCGCGAGACATTCTATGGTTTGTCTCCTCCCCTAGGTCCGACCTCGGCCTGCACTTCCCAAGGCTTCCCCCCCTGGGACAACGAATGGGCCTTCCATTTTGAAGGTGCAGATCCGACATGGACCAGGTCTCGTGGGGGCCCCGACGAGGTGCTACCAAGTTGCTTCAGTTGCATCCCAAACATCTGCTCTATCACTCCAACTGCAGCCAACCATGGCCGCGCGATGGGGCTTGCCAACCGAGAACTGCACGACGCCGTTGGCAATCGCATTGGCCCCCGATCCTTTCAACAAAGGATCGCTGGGCTCCTGCGGGACGCATGCTTTGCAGCAGAGCCCGGAGTCTACGGGGATCACCGAACACCGTGCGTACTCGACATCCAGGCTGGCTTTGACCGTGCTTTCGCATTTGCCAAGCAGCACTGCAGGTTCGATCGGCTTTCCAGATCACCCTTTCCAGAATATATACGACTTTTCTTTGAGGCTGGGAATGTCATTCCACCTCTCTGCCCACCGACGGTAATCCCCCCCTAAACAACTTGGGCCCCCCCCCTCCCACGACGGGGGGCCTTGGGCCCCCCCCGACGGGGCAGCGCTCGCGCTGGCTGCCCGCAGTCGCGCTTGGAAAACTGCGGCGCGATCTTTTTCTACTCGCCTCCTCGCTCACCATGCTGCCCCTGTGCGCTCGCCACGCGCCCTCTGGGCCGCGCTCCGCAGCTCTCAGTGGCAGAACCCCACCTGGCGTGACCTCTGCGCCGATTTCGCTCTCGACGACCTGCTCGCAGGTCTACAGAGAGCTCGTGACACCGGGGCACCACGCCTTGCATGCTGGAGCGTTCGATACCTACGAAGCACCACTGCGCGCAATAATTCAATTAACATGCTGTCCTGACTCGAGTCACCACCAGGGAACGCGCCTGCCTTCTACGAGAGACTCCCTGGTCTGAACACGAAAGTGGCGTCTGGGCTAGCCTCTTTCCAGCGCGTGCCCTTGTCTCCACGCTGGCGTTCAGGGGGCCTGGGGGCGGCCTCGCAGGAGGAGTGGCCGTCTTGATGCCCTATGGAAAGCCCCTGCTTGCCTCTGGCACACTTGTCCCAGGATGCGCTGTATGGGCAGACGTCGATGCGCAAGGAACGCGCGTCAGGCTCATCAGTATTTACCTACCGCCGTCACTCAAGAGTGAAACCATAGAAGGGCCCCGCGAGGCACTCGAAACGCTCGACGATGGCCCAACTTTCTGGGGGGGAGACGTCAACCTGCAGTGCGAAGACCCACGCTGGGGAGAGGTTGAGAGCGCGGCTAATCTCCGTGACCGCCTTGCCTCCGCCAGCTCAAGTATCGCGCGCGCAGACGGGCCCACTCGCGCCGACCGCGACAGCGATTCCGCCATCGATTTAATGGCATGCCCCACGGTGTCACTGGCGGCTTATCAGACTAGGAAGGTGTGGGGGCCTTCCCTGTCGGACCATGCCATCATGCATCTCGATCCTGACGGCAGTCGCCCTGCCAGACGTGACCACGCACTCGCGCCCGCAGAGTTCCGAGGGCTCCCCACCGAGGCCCACGCCGAGCTACGTCGGTTGTACACCTACCTTGAGAAAACCTCTGCCGTTCCGGAGGTTGACCTCGCTGGCTTGATGCAGCCCGTCGACTGGACTCGGCCTGCGGGCTTACTACCAGACCAACGCGATCTCCACGACGGCGGCGACGAAAAAGTAGACACCCAGCCACATCTGCCTTAACAGTCAGAGAGAGATGAGTTCACCCCGCCCTATCTGCCTGCTCTGGTTATGCTGCGGAGATTCGCGCTCTCGTCGGGCCTGCAGCAATGGTGGAAGCCGTGGGCCAGGAAACGTAAACATACCAGCCCGGGAGCACTGCTCGATCTAGCGGCTCGCGACACTGGCACACTGCAACCTGACGGCCCCCTAGCCGATTGGTTAGAGCGCTCCGGCTGGGACGGGGGGGCTCGCCCAGGCGCGAGCCAGCCTGTGGCTCCGCTGATGGGACCTAGAGATGCCCCAGGAACGCGCCAGCGCCTTCACCCCGTCTGAACGGGGACCAGGTGCCGAGCGACAGCCCCTTGCGGCCCATTTCAAGACTGGCAGATAATTTTTCAAAGACTGCACAACGTTACCGGCATCCGGGACAATGACAGCAATTGGGCCGAGACGCACGCCGAAGTTGACCAAATCCTGATCTCTGACCGTCCCTTCTGGATGGCAGCCCCAGGCCTTCCACCCTGTGCCGACGATCTTCTCGACCGCTACTTCAGGGACGGAAAGACCATGGCCCTTGACCGCGCGCCAACCCCTAGACGGGGGCGGTTTGCTTCACTGGTATTAATTCCTGCGCGCAGCGCGCCAGGCGTGGACGGAGAGTCTTATGAAGTTTACCATGCAGGCGCAATATTCATTGCCTGCCTGATTGCACAAGCGTTGTACGTCGCTGACCAGAATCTACACGATATCGCTGCCGTACTTGGTCCCTCGGTGGATCTTCTCGTGTGGATAGGAAAGAAACCAGGCGCTGAGCTACCAATTGACATGCGACCACTGCAGTTGCCTACCTGCCTTCGGCGTCTCGTCGGAGCCACCTTGGCCGACCTGCTTGGACCCCAGATTGAGCCACTGCTCTCCCAGGATCAGGCGGCCAAAAAAGGCGGACAATGCGGGCCGACCATCAGAACTGCCGCAGAGCATCTCGGCCGAGACCCACGCCCGGCGCCCCCGCCAAGCGACGCCTGGGAAATAATGCTCGGCAGACACTACACGGCAACAGAGGGGCACATACAAGAATGCACGGCAGGCCTCGCACCCGCACCGAGCACAGCAGTCATTTTCTGCGACCAAAACAAGGCCTTCGAGCGCCTCTCCATGCATTGGATTGGTAAGTTGCTCCAACGCTGAGGCCCCCCCGCATGCATGCGTCACGTGCTCACTGCCCTGTTTGCCGACAGTAGCGTGCAAATGAACAAAGGGAAATGTCGCGGTCCCAAGCGCAAGCTGATGCGCTCAGATGCGCTCAGTAGGCATGGGAGAGACTGCGTCTCCTATCTTTTGGTGTGTTGGCTACGACCCCATCATCGCAGCCATCTCCGATGTCACCAGAGACAGCTGCCCCATCTTCGTGAACGACCTCGCCGCCCTTCTCCAGGATGCGACACAGACACTCGGTGCTACGATAGCTCTTGCATGGGCCTCGAGAGCTGCTGGGCTACTTGTCAACTGTCACGCATGCTTCGGGGTTGAAGTGCAAGGGAATACAAGCGTACTAAGGCAGCCCCTTGACGGCGCGCCTGTAGATCTGGAGCACACACCGGGCGGCGCGCCCGACTGTGCGCGGCTTGCCGGGCTCCCGGTCGGACTATTCTGTCGGATCATCACAACCAGTCTGGGCGACGCACTTATCTGCTCCGCCTGGCAGACTGCATGCCGATGCAAGTTCAAGACTGCCGTAGTACCCGCTGGCCACCACTCCTGGTGGAAACCAGTGCTCGACCATTCCCCGTTTGGCAGCCGCTGCGTGCGGCCAACGTGGCCATATCTTGACGCATGCATCGCCTCGGAGTCTGGAAGGATCCATGCCACCCCACGGTCGTTTCACACTGGAGCAAGCCGCAGCGCTCATCCAAGGCACATGGCAAAAAGCTTTTTCCAAAATCCGCACTCGCAGCACCACCCTCCGCCTCGCCAACCTCTCTCCCGCGCGCGCTGCTGCTGCCTGGAATTCGTGCATTGCGTCCGTCACCCCGTGCCCTGCACACTACTTCTCACCAGATGACCGCATCGAGCGGGACCTCCGTGCGCAACTCCGGGTCAGTGTCGGGATGGCCGGTGCCACTTGGATCCACGATGTCATATTCACCGGGGCTGGGATTCTCTTCCAGGTACCAGGATCACCCAAATGTCCGGCCGCGCTGGCGCGCGCGGTGGCAGCACGCGGGCACGTCGCGAATGACATCTGGGGCTTTACACCAGCGCAGAGACGGGCTCGGCTCCGCTGGAATCGCATTGTAGGGTGGGCGCGGAACTACCCCTCACACTGCGCGCCCCCTCGCCCTGGCTCTCGAGTCATGACAGCAGGCGCGGCCGCTGATATCATTCTACAAGTACACGACAACCCAGCCCTCTGCCATGGTCAAAATGCTGCGCGCGCGGTTTACATTGCTGCCTGGCACCAGCTACACGGACTCCCGATGCAGAAATGGCTCAGGCAAACCAGCGCAGACCGCAGGTGGGCAGCCGGCATCGGTGTCGGATGGGATCTATGTCACCACGTCCCCTCCCTCACGGCTGCGGTTCACGGACGTGCTCCGCTTCCTCTCCGACGAGATGCCGGGAGCAGCGAGACGAAGGGGAGCCGCAGACAGACTCACGCACGTCTGCTACAACTGCCACCGAACAGCACACAGGATTTGGCACGCCGCCAGCTCCCAACAACACGGCCACGCCTGGTGTCACATTTGCTTCGGAGAATGGTCCAACCAGATCACCCTCTGGGCCGCGCTCCTGAACGAACTGCTACCGTTGGAGCTCCACCGGGCAGCGCATGCCATCAGGGGCGACAGAACCACCCGCTTTCAGATTCCGCTCACCTCTGACTCGTATGAGGTCTGTCCGCTGTGCGGTATAGGCGAGGCAACTACGGGACACGTGTGGACATGGTGCACGGCAGTCGCAATGGCCTGGGACTGGGTCAGGCAGGAGGGGGGGCCGCTGAATCTGGGAAGGGCTGTTATGACAACTGGGCCACATCAGCAGATGGCAGCTAGAGGGGTGCATCAGACTTCATTTCGATATTGCATTAATCATGCGCTCACCCCCCCTAACACCACAGGAAGGTTCGAGGTTGATCGTGCTTGGCCATGGAACAGGCCGAAGACTATGAAGAGATGCCCCCACCAGCGCGTGAAGGCCAGGATGTTGAAACTGCAGTCTGGACTCCTATGGAAGAGTATTGCGCTGCGTGTGGCCCCAATCCCCTGCCTCACCGCGCGATGCGCAGCTCAGCTACTCCGCGCGCCAACCGCGCTGCAGAACGGGCGGGGGGGTCAAATCAGGAGTCTGCCTGTCTTTAGCCGCGCAGTAGCCTCCGGCGAGCACCTTGCTACCCTGCATGCACATCATCACATAGCGGGCTGGGTTTTACCCGGGCCTGGCTGGTTCCCATGCCCACGCACCGATCCCAGGCCTACAGCCGAGTGGACGCGCTGGTACTGTCGCCTGTGCGACACCCACGTCGCCACACTCCATGCCACGCAAAACCTCGAGCGGGGAGTAGAGGTCACTGTCAACCACTCTCCCTTCCCTAACCCCGACTCCACCTCGCGGCCGTGCGAGGTCACCTTTGACGGCGGCGCGCGCACGTTCGGCGACCACAAGGTCGCTGGAGGCGGCGCCACGCTTTGGTATCACAACCCAGAGACTGGACGCCCCGACCTCGTCGGAATGGGCATCGTGGCCTTGCCCAGCTCTGATAGCGCACAAGCAGCCGAAGTGGCGGGATGCAGAGCAAGGCTATCACTTCTAAGCTTCACAGCGTGTCGCGGGCAAAGAGCACGTGTTGTTGGCGACAACGTCGGTGCCATCAGATGCGGGGCAGGCGCAGCCAGGTACAGACGTCTCACGCTCTGCCAGCAAGTGGAGACAGGCCTTCGTTCCGCTGAGGATGCCGGGTGGGCGCTGACTTGGCGGGCCGTGCGAAGACGTCTCAACAAAGCTGCTGACCGCCTTGCCACGCTGGGAGTCTTCTGGGCCCACACGCTGCGCGAAGCTGGCCCACATGCAACCGCCATCCTCTTCCACTGTGCCTCCGCCGCCCCTCCACTTCCCCCCTTTTTTTCTGTCTCACAGGTGGGCCTCCTGGGCGCTGCTGGCACTGCAGCCGCGGTGGGCGCGCTGGAACGCCCGTGAGCCGTTTCGGCTCAGGGGGCGCGCGGTCGGGCCCCTCCCCCCCCCGCCCGCTGTCGCCTTGGCCAGCGATAGCTCACCGGGATCGCGCCTACACTGCCCTCTCCACTGGTCCTACGGCTGCAGCGGTTAGCTGCCACAACGGGCATGGCCACTGAAGCAGTATGGGGCAGCAGCGGGAAAGCACATGTCTCGGCTTGCTTTCTGGCGCTGGGGCCAGGCGACCCAAGTGGACCGCGGCGGGGCACCGCCACTGGACAGCCCATGTTCGAGTTCCGTTACATGCCGACGATGGCTTGGGGACACATGCAGACATGGGGATGGCTGTGCGAGTCCTGCCAGATGCACGCGAGGGATTTGCGCACTTCTGTGGAGAAGGACGGCTGGCCAGATCCGGGTCAGTTCGACTCCGCTGGGAATCTGTGGGCGCGCACCATCGGCACATGCACGGACAGGGTCACCGGGCACCACGTCACACGCCTCAAGTGGGATCAATTGGAGCCCGAGTGGAAGGCTGCGCCAGTCGACTGGGTGGAACGGGGACTACCGGGTCCTTGGATTCCGATGTGCCGCGGCCAGGAAGTGGTCTTCCCACCAGACTGGGACCATGTCCCAGCCCTCTACCTCACGACCTACCAGGAGTCCACGGCTCTGCCACCACTGGGAGCAACCGGGAACAGAGATCAAGTCCTCCCACCAAACAGTGCCTGGGCCCCTGGAGCAACGGCGCATCCTCGAACACGGAATACCAGGACACCGAGTGAACCCAAAATATTGACCGCCGACGACATCTTTCGCAACGGGAAGGCAGCGCAAGCAATGGCACCACCTGGGCCCTCCGGCGGTGCCTTGCCAGTCGCCCCCCCTCAGGAAGAGGCCGGCTCGGTACTCGGCGCTGGCAGCCCAGGTGCCGCTGCGAGCGCCGCTGGCCCTAGTCCCCACGGCGCACCTGGCGCTGTTCCCTGCCGGCCAGTCTTTTGGACGCAGGGCAGTTCAGGACAAGCAAGTGCGCCGTCCAATCCTTTCACCGCAATGGGCGTCGTAAGCAACGGGGGGCCGGAGACCGCGGTTACAACGGGTCGCGGACGGGGTGCCGCTGCTGAGATTAAGAAGATCTACAGTTCCCAGTGGAACCACGGAAGACAGGCGATCATTCCTTCGATTCCCATCGGAAGGGTCCCCAGTGGAGTCACTCTGCCCAACGCCTGGGCAACTGACGTGAAGGAACACGTCGCCAGACTCGCCCGGGCGAGTCAAGTTGAAATGCGTGCCAGCTTGGGCCCAGACTACGACGGGAAGACCAAGACTCGTAGGGACTTGAATGCCAAGCGCACCTGCGCCTTAGACGCTTGCCTGGAACTGGTGACACCAGCGTGGCGACGCTGGTTCATTCAGGATTACAAACTGGAGGGCTGGATCGAAAAGAGCGAAGCCACGGACTACTACGTGGTCAGCTGGAACACCGAGTGGCAGCTGACAGCTGGCTGCGGGGAGGATGGAGTACGAGCTGTGCTGCTGTCACCCAACACCGACGAAATCGCCTGCCTCCGCGTGGTCTTCCCGCGCTTCCCCGGGCGGGCCACCCCAGACGACGAGCGGGGGCTCCATCCGCATTGTCGCGTCTACCCAACCAATGTCTTCCTGGTCAATCACGACAAGGTCGACGGGCCATTGCACTGCACCTCTGCTGTAGCGCCCCTGCCTGAGAAGACAGGCGCGGCTCACTACTGCGCCGACATCGCGCCCGGTGCGATCCAGCATGAAAAGGTCAAAACCGCCCTGACGAACATGTACCACTCCAACGTCCACCGGGACGATCTATGAGGGGCACCGCTTGCTGTGTTGCCATACGCGCTGGCCTTTGCGACAGGCGGCAACGGGAAGAAACAAAGGTCCAGCGACACCTACAGGAGCGCACTAAGCGGATACTTCCTGCGCCTCCGAAGTCGTGCAACCGTCGGGGGCCCGCTGCTTGATCCTGATCAGTTTGGCGACCAGGGGGGCAGGCCGGACGCTGTGGAATCGATCGCGGACGCCGAAATAGACGAACACCCAGGCTCGGTGTGGCAGCGAGCCAACAAAGTGCCCGCTGAGGACACCATCAAAAGTGTCATTGCAGCGCATGACCTCAGCGATGACCACGCGCAGGCACTCCGCTCATCCGTCAAACATCTCGTCACGGCGGTGCAAGGCTCACCTGGCACAGGGAAAACACGTTTCGCTGCCGCACTTGCCAGGCTTTGGGCACATGTCGCGGAACTCGGTTCCACTGTTCTCGCCGTCGCTGGCTCCAACACAGCAGCAGACCAAACAGCCGTCGCCTTCGAAACAGGACACAGGGGGGCGCCTCGTCAACTTTCCACAACACCCGAGCTGTGCTGCATCTCTAGCAGAGGATGAACGCATTACACATCCTGACGCTCACACATTGTCGGCCACCAGTCACTATCGACGCGCATGGAACATCGAGCCCAACAGGTCCAACAAGAGGAAAGGGTGGCGGAAGTTTGAAGACGACCTCAGCAGCAAATGCAGCATTATCGTAGCGACCCGCGAAGGCTCCTGGAGGCTCGACCAGCCCAGCGCACCCAAGGTGATCCTGGGTATCACCGACGAGGCTGACCAGGTCAACGAGGTCTGCTGCCATCTTGATCGGCATCATGGTGGACTGGTGCTCGCATTGTGCTTGTGGGAGATCCCAAGCAGCTCCCGCCCACAGTACAGTCCCGGTACGCAGAATACTTGGGGCTACAAGTATCCCTTTTCGCGAAAATGTAAGACTCCCTGGGCGAGGACAGTCCTGCCACAGTTCTTCTCACAAGGTGCTTCAGGTCCACCCCGACGTCCTTGGCTTCTCCAGGTTCGCTTGCTACGACAGGAAGATCGAGTCAGGCCTCGTAGCACCACTACAAGACCGCCCCATCGTCAGCGGGCTTCCGTGGGTCATGCGCCGACCGCTGGACAACGAGCGGCTGGAGACTGTCGCCAAAAAGCTAGGACACGACGTGGACGAATTCAGAGGCGAGATCTGTTACCTACACACCGAGGGGATGACGCCTGGAGACGTCCACCGTGTGCTCATGAGTGATAATCCATATGTGGACATCACCTCTAATGCCAAGAGTGGCTACGCCAACATCCACGAGGCTGCCACTTGCCTCGAAGTGGTTCGCGCGCTTGGCCCCACCATGCGTAATTCTGGGCTAACTGTCAAAGTGATCGCCCCCTACGCTGTACAGCGGACCGTTCTGTACGGCGGGTGGCCACAGGGCAAGAGTGGTTTCTGGAAGAACGCCGCGCTGGCTGAATCGAAGCAGGGTAATAAAAAAAAAGCAAGGCACTACAGCGGCATCAGAGCCAAATCCACCGGGTCAGTCATCCACTCCCTTCTCCCCATTCTATTCCCGACCACGCGCGGTTAGCGCGCGCGCCCGCTCCGCTCCTCCTGCCAGCGCCTCTGGCCTGGGCGCCGGCTGCCCGCTCGATGCCCCCCCGACAGCCGACGACTGGTTGGCATTTTCGTTCAAGGGATTGGCCGGAACGTTCCCTGACCTGATGGAGACTGGTCAGCTCTCCCTCTCCACTATGGACGCCAGTCCGGGAGGAGAAGCTGGCATAGTTATTTACCTTGCTACGCGCTCCAAGGTCCTACGACTGGGGTTTCCTCGACGCGCCAAACAGGACCAACGTCGCCCTGACCAGAGCTAAACGGCTCGTGGTCCTCATCGAAGACCGGCGGATGTTCGAGGCTGCGACCGAGTCTGCTCTTCGGACCCTCGCCGAATACGGCATGGCCGCAGACCTCTGGGTGAGACCTGCCTCCACTGAGCCTTGGGAGGAGCGCAACAGCGCATGGAAGCCCCTTAGCCCACTAGCTCACTGGGATGCAATTGCTGAAATCGGGACCGCAGCAACCCAACCGCAACAACACCGTGCGCTGCACCCAGCATCGGTTAAAATGCGAGGGGATCAAGCCAAAGGTTTCGTCTACCGCATCGACAGACCGCTACCGGAAGGGTTTGAATTTGGAATCCCGGCAAAGCAGCTCATCAACTCGCTAAGAGCGCTGCTGGCCTCACCCGCTCTCTTTCCTGTCCGCTACCTTGTTTCTGGCCTTCGCCCGCACGCCCTCAGCCTTGCACAACTTCCCAACGATCCCAATCTCTAAGCCACAGAAGATTTATCTATGATGTTACGGTTGGAACTGATGCCGGCAATCTGACATGCAACATTTTCTGGGCGTGCATGATGCGCGCGGTCGGGCTTGGCCACAAGCGGGGCGACGGCAGCACCTCGCTCCCGGTGGCCAACCTGCCTCAAAGGCCAAAAGGCTGCCTACAGAAGCGCGCATCCAAGGACTGTCGGGGCTCGCCAGCTGGCATGGACAAGCAGCTACCCACGGTATGGAGTTCGAAGACGACACAGTGTCCAATGCGCCAACTTCATCCAGGGATGAGCGGCCTGGAAAACATCATCACAGGCGACTGCATGCCTACTGACCCCACCGCGCGTGCTCAGACCTGCACGGCCCTCGTGATGATGATGCTAGCGCATCGGGAACCCAGGACCTGTCTCTTCCCCTTCTCCGAACAAGAAGGGGCAGGTGATATCGCGGAGGCCGTCCTGGGCATATGCAAACCTGGCAGCTCAACCGGCACCACATCCGTTGGAAGGGACCTTCATTTCCGGACGCACTTTGGTTTGACATGGAAGATTCCCAATCGCGATGACCAGAACCTGCATCGGATATTGACTGACGCGCTACGACAAAGGGGCGTGCTTAAAAGTACCAGCCACCATCACGATGTCTCGAAACAAGCAGGGTGCCCCACAACGTTGGAAGAATGCAAGCGCACCGACTTTCACATCAATGGTATCTTGCTGGTGATCGACTAGCTCATCGAACCGCTCCAATTACCGCTGGCTCGTACTAGCGACCAACGTGACAACGAGACAACCAGCTGCACCATCTGCCGGCTCTACAAATCCATCACAGGGAATCAAGCATCTCGGGGGCACGCCGGACCAGAAGCTGCACTATGCGGGCACAGGGCCAGCGATGGACCAGAAGGACCTTCTCATACCTGAAACCCCTACAGCGAAATTGGGCGCCACGGTGACACCGAAAAGGCTTCGAACAGGAGACCTGCGCTTCTCGGCGTCACAGAACACTGCCAGCTTTTACTGCGACGACTGTCAGAGAGGCCCCTACACAAACATCGAAGGCACCTGGGGGGACAACCGTATGCGCCAACGTCTGGCTACGGCAAGGATTGCAGGGTAGCACGAGGGACTCAACTGCCGTTGGATGTGCGTTGGGTGCTGGGTGGGTAGCCTCGAGAAGCAGGGCGCTGATGCCCCCGCAGGTGACTCGATGCGCGGAAAGCTGGCCAACCTACGGAAAAGCATGCCCAGCAGGACCGCGGCCTTCAGTCTGACACCGCCTGTGCACCTCCCGACCGGGCGACCTCCTTCTCACACCTGACTCGGCCAACGACCCCGAGGTGGCAGGCGTGCCAAATCACGCAACGCGACCAGACGACGACCGCTTCGGCACAGAGGGGCTCAGGTCTGGGGTCTACAGTGCTACTTGCGACGGCTGCCCAGACCCAAGCTGTTATGCACTTGGAATCACGGGCAGCCAGCGGTCGGGTGCTTCGTCTGGCGACCGACTCCTGGCAGGGAGGACGCCGAGCAGTGCAACCTACCTCCCTGGGACAACTGGATCGACTGCTGGACGAGCGGCGAACGGAACGCTGGGTGGTACTGCGGGAATTGTCTTGCTCACACCTTGACGCTGCTCCATCCGTCATCAACCGCATCCTTGCGCGTGACGCGCCATTGATGCATCCAGCCTCCCCCGCAGCACGGACATCCAGGAAGACAAAAGATTGCGCGGGGGGCCTCGCCCTAGCACTTGGCAAAACACGAGCGCAGGTACCGCGCGGCGACGACGACGATGGGTGCCGTACACCATCTGAGACGTCGCCACTACCCGCACCCAATCTAGAACGAGTTGATGCAATCAAGGAAATGCTTCCGAACGTCAAGATCCCGCAACTGCCAGGCGTGGCCAACACCAGGCTCGACCTCTTCCAGGCATGGACTGACGACAACAGCGGCGCACAGGGACGCGCCCCAGTTCAAATGTGCCTGCACCTCAGACGTATCAACGCAGTTGCCAACGACATTTTCTACGTGCTTGCGAACCAGTGCGGGGTGCCAGACAAAGGGTTGGACGTCAACTGGCTCACCGTTCTGGCCTGCTCCACCCTGGCCTGGACGTTCCCTCCGACGGGACTCACTACCGACGGATTGGTGCCAGGCGCGGAATGGGATGGTAAAAGATGGGCCGCTGGACTGGTCGTGAAACCCCTTTAGCGGGAAGGACGATCGGCTAAAGAAGCTGCGGGCGGCACGCGTCAACGAAACCCTCCACGGGGGCAAAGGCCCGAGGGCCCACAGCACAGACGAATTTGCTCACTGGCTGGCCAGACTTGACACCGAGGACGCCCCCGACCATGTGATACGACTGGACAACGTTAGCTTGGGAACTTGGGCAGATGCATGCGCCCGCGCGGGATAGGATCTCGGCGAATCGCCTTGAACCGTACCACTGCAACATTCAACATGTCCTTTCAGGAGCGTAAGGAGCGAATTGCCACGTTGGCTTGTGACGCCAAGGAAAACGTCCTTGCCCTGTGCGATCCTGGCTCACAACGGGCACGCGACGAGGAGAAGAGGCTGGATATTTTGATCGGCGTAGGCATGAACGCCTCTCTCGGGAGGCATTTATTTCCTGCCCACCCTGGCGCGGACTCAAGCGGCAAGCCAGTGTCTCGACCCGAAGGTATACGAACTGTGACAAGAAATATCCGAAGCAAGCCAGACAGCGAGCCTGCTGCCGCAACAGATGAACACAGGGACTTGCACGGCGACGACCCGGACTACGACCCGGATGAGGTGGGCGAGCAATCTCAAGCGGACGCAGCAAATGAGCCCGAAGGAAGCCCAGCAACAAGCGATGGTCGCAACACCGAGACAGCTGACGACGAAACATCCAGCGTCGCAGACGACAGACCCCCGCTGCCGAGGAAGCAAGATCCGCCACACCAGGCCCCTCCGGAAGGGTACGTGCGAGGCTGGGATCCGAGCAGCAGACGAGGACAACGAGACGGTCCCACTCAGCACAACGCTGACGACAGGACTGGTTCCTCGCGCGGATACAGGGACCAGTGGAGTTACGACAGGTCCTCAGACCGCCGGGCCACGCATTCTCGCGACGACGCCTGGCGTCGCCAGGACATGCGCACGGGAAACGACGGGGGAGATTCAATCATGGCATATGGGTACCCTTCTCCAATAACCCATTGTCCATTTACGAGCCCAAGAAGAACGACGAGTCCAAGATGTCCAGGGCGCCACTGCGCACGATCGACTCACAACACTCCTGGGAGTCCGACAGCGTTTTCGTCCTCAGGATCATGAGTTAGACAGCATGTTCAGCGACCTGTGGTGTGCACGCTGTACCATATCTTGCCTCACTAACGCCCAGCCGACCTTTGACCCAGCACTGCAGCCGCCAAGCGTGCGCCGGGTTTCCTCGACGCCTGGAGGACTGCAAACTACGACGTGTACCGCGCCGACCATATCCTGCGCGCCGAGACCAGCTTTCGCAGCCCAACTGACAGGCTCACGGCTGTCAATAACGCCTCCAGCTCAGGAGCTGCCAGCAGCAGCGTGGCCGCCGCCTCCAGGTCCCACGCAGCGGGAGAGTACCCGAGCAAGTGGAAGGCAAGACGAAGGACGGACCCGATTCACTGGGCAAGGCTGGGAGGAGGAACCGAGTTACCGAAAGCCCATGGAGTTCGTGGCACGAGAAACGGCATCGCTAGTAATGTTGGGCGTGGGGCATCACCCAGTTTCGACGTGATATGGCTCTGGCATCACACTTGGTATGTGGTGCGCCATGCGACTGCATTGCTAACTCGCTCTCGTGTGCTTGCGGCGGTTAGCCGCGTTCCCCTGCTATCCCTTCCCTTCTGCCTCCTTCGCAGTCACTGCGGCTCAATGCTGGCGTCAGACTGGCAGCCCACCGTGATTGCCCCTGCCAAGCGTCCCATTGAAGAGCGCCCGGGGTGCTTCATCGACTGTGCCTCCCTGAGGGCTCTTGCAGTAACTAGTGCGTGGCTGAACAAAGAAGCATGCATTGCCTACACCCGCTGGCGCATATGGGATGGTGTGCTAGCTCAATGGAGGACCTCATCGTCCGTGACTGCACGCTATTTCGCGGCCGAAAGAGCCCAGCTTGTCCCAGGACTTCGCGTGAAGAACAATGGCAAAATGGTGCCAGTGGCGGGTTTACTGAGGTAGGCTTCGATGCCGAGCGCCTGGCGTGCGCGCCAGAGTACACAGGGTCATGGTGAGCTCTCCTCGTTCTTTTCCTTTTGCTTCAGCGGTTAGCTGACTCCCTCTCCTGCGTCATTGGGATCATGTATTGCGCCGGGGCTGGGTGGCGCGGTGCCTACTGGCTGCCTTAAGTCGGCGCCGCCCCCACCCCCCTGCTGATGACCGAAAGGGTTCAGTGGGCGTCGATGCTCGCGTCTCCTCCTTCCTATTGCCGCAGCGGTTTGCTGCCGCAACGGGTTGCCTACCGTGCCTGGCGTGCACTTCCCCTCCTCTCCCTCGTTTCACCGGGTTTATCCCGCGCGGCTGGGGTCGCCGCCAATACTGCTGTCCGATGGTGCTCTGACAGCCTGAATTCCATGCAAGGTTCACACTGGGAACGGACGGTCAGGTGGCCCCTGACCTGCTCCTGTCTGGTGTCGGCCTCCACTGGTGACCGGGGGGGTTCCGTGAGGTCTCGCTTCGTATTCCATGCATGACCTCACTGAGGATGGGCGGCCAGGTGGCCCCTGGCCTGCTCCTGCTTGGTGTCAGCCTCCACTGGTGACCGTTTGGGTTCCGTGGGGTCTCGCTACGGTGCCGCCCTCTTCGGTGCAAGGATTTCGGCATGCGTGGCTCTGGGCGCCCGTCGGCTGCTTTCTTCTACATGGACTTCGCTTTCGACCTGTGCCACCAGGTGTACATACAAGAGGATCTGCCGTTTGCAGTCCTGCATGTGACGAGGCTGCCCCCTCTTCACTCCGGCGACGACACGATGCTGTTGTGTCATCTACGGCACGGATGTCGCCCTGGAGTGCCTGTCGGACCTGCTCGTTTTTGCCGGGCCCTATGCCGACTCACGCCGGGTGATCGACCTCTGCGTGTGCATGGTCGCGCCGCCGCGCCATTTTGGCTGCGCTTACTTGATGGTCGCCACTGGGATTTCCACGCCATTAGGTTGGGAGTGCCGCTCCTAGTGCTCCTTCTGAGTGGCTGCCCGCGCGCTCGCCTCGCTTGCCCCTGTCTGCTCTTGCTGCCTAGTCGCGGCCCGGCTCTTGATCGGACGGCTTTCGACTTGCTTCGCGAGCCCGCAGACCAAAAAATATCCCCACCAGTGCGCGCGCTTGGCAATTAGTTCTGCTCGTAACCCGACCGGCCTGTGACGCCGCCGGCGCCTTGGCCTGCGGTTGCGACAAAGAAGTAGACCCGCCAGTGGAGCCCTTCCTGGTCCTCCGCGCTTTTGAGGCGCAGTGTAGTTCGCTCCTGTGCGCTTGGTGCGTAATTTAGGCCGTTGCATTGTTGCTTCGTTTTGACGGTGCGCGGCTGTACCGCTTGCGCTCGCGACCAAAAGTATCCCCGCCAGCCATGGCGTTTCTCGCCTCTGCTTGTTTTTTTTAGCTAGTGGCACGGCCTGCCCCTGCTTGCGCGGCGTTCGACCGGCTTCGCGCGCCCGCGTGCCAAAAAGTATCCCCACCAGCCCATCCAGGATCGATGCCCAGGGAAACTGAGGTGATCAGGGAACTTGGTCAGCATGCAAAATAACAAATGGCGGGGGAAACCGTCATATACCCCAAAATGGGGAGGATGGAGTCGTCGTCGTCGTCGTCGTCGTCGTCGTCGTCGTCGTCGTCGGAGGAGGAGGAGGAGGAGGAGGAGGAGGAGGAGGAGGAGGAGGAGGAAGAGGAGGAGGAGGAGGAGGCGGAGTAGGGCGAGGACGACAAGGAGGAGAAGGACGAGAAAGAGGGACAGTTGGGTACTTCGGGCATTCTCTTGAGGTCTCTTATGGAGTCTCTTGGATGCCTCTTGGGCGCCTCTTGGGGCCGTCTTGGCGCCTCCTCGGGCCCTTGTGAGGCGCTCTTGGGAGCTTGAGGGGCGCTCTAAACAAGAGGGGAGTTTCAATTAGGGTCCCCCCTCGGGAGCCCCAGCCCCCAAAAGTCGCCTCTTCGTGCGCTCTTGGGGCGCTCCTGGAGCGCTCTTGGACGCTCTTGGGGCCGTCTTGGGGCTCTCTTGGGCCTCTCCTTGGGCCCTCTTGGGCCATCTTGGAGTCATCTTGAGGCCTCGGATTGCCATCGGAAGCGAAAAGGCGAGAAGGCAAACATCATTGACTGCCCCTCTTTTTATGGAAGAGTGTGTTATATATATATACATCTATATAGAGAGAGAGAGAGAGAGAGAGAGAGAGAGAGAGAGAGAGAGAGAGAGAGAGAGAAAAAAAAGAGAGAGAGAGAGAGAGAAAAAAAAACAACAAAATCCGGTCTTCGGGAATTCCTTGGAGGTTTCGGAGGCCTCTGGGAGCCGTCTTGGAGCGTTCTTGGGGCTTCTTGGAGCATCTTGGAAACCGTCTTGAGGCATCTTGCGCTACCTTGAGCCATCTTGGAGGTCATCTTGAGCTTTCCGAGGCCCTCGTGGAGCCGTCTTGGGCCATCTTGGACGCTCCAACGCCTCGCCGCCCCCCCCGTTCAGGTCCAGGGGAGGGGGTGGGGGGGAGGGGTAATTAAATTAAACCCCCTCCCCGAAGGGGAAGAAGAGGGTTGGAAAAGGAACGCCCTTAGACCACCTACGCCCAGAGGGCTGGTGGGATTCTGAACCCCAGCCGGTTTTTTCAGAAATCTAAAACCTGCAGGGGTAGGTATCCCATGAGCGACGCAACAAAAACGAGTTCGACTGCGCCGATATTGGCGCGTCAGCTGCCTCGCAAGGTCACGTGTACGCGGCCTCGCTTCCAGCGTACCGTGCCGCGCTGGCGGCCCGCGTAAACCCCGGCGCAAGGTCGCTATGTAATCTCGCGTGCGACCCGTCTCTTTTCGTTGCTCCCATGTGGTCGCCCAATCCATGCTTTCGTGCCCCCCTCCAGAGGCGGAGGCACTCGAGGCGATCGCGCGGCGGGCCCAGGAGTTGGCGCGCCTGGCGCGCGAGAAGGCCGCCGCGGCGGCGGCGGAGGACTTCGGGCTCGCGGCGCGCCTGAAGCGCGAGGATCAGTAGGGAAGAAGTGACACAAACACAAACGCAAACAAACGCTGATTTTCATGAGTTCGTGAGGGAGCATGGAGATATGGAAAGGCATATGGAAAAAGGGAAGGCGTAGGAATTTTGGAAATTCCCCAAGCAGTGCCTGCTTTGAATTACAGACAATCAGGTAAGTTCGTACGCTTTGAGAATTCGACTCGGTACGATTCGAGAGTTCGATTCGATGCGAAGGTACCAGACTGTCGGTCCAGCCAGTCCAGAGTCCGTCGGCCCAGCCGGCCTTGGGAAGTGGAGCTTGGCGGCACGTCGCGGGCGATGGGCGCAGCATCGGGCACCCAAAAACGAATGCAGAGCCCCCCGAAGACATTGACGATGGCCCCAGTTCGGGATTGTCAGCATCGCCTCGGGCGTCGGATCCGGGTGCGGATCCGCTACGTATCCTATGCGGATCCGATGTTTGTTGGACGGATCCTGTGCGAATTCGACCGTTTTGGACGGATCAGCGTGGTGAGCAAATAGTGTGTTTGGAACGGATCCTGTCAGACCACTCTACCCGTGTGTAATCCTATTTTAGGGCAGCGGAAGTCTCCGAGGACGACTTGCTCAGGGGCACGGGGCAGGCGCGACAGGGAGGGGGTAAGGCGCCGTCTAGAATTTTACTGAGGCGGTCTTTCTAGAATTGAACTTCGCTGCTCCTTTGGGTTTCGAGACTGAGACTTCTCGTGCGTTCTGAACACTGGACCTCGCTGTCGCCGACGTCGTTTTCGTCGTCGTTCGCCGCCGCCCCCCTCGTCTGTCGCTGTCGCCACCGCTGTCGTCGTCGCTTTTGCCCTCGCCGTCGTTGTCGCCCTCGTGGCGGTCTTCTCAATGACCGTGCCTGGGCGCGCTCGTTCCATCGCGCTTTCTTGAGGTTCAGACCCTGGCCATGTGTAGATTCAGGGACGCTCCCAGCCAGGCAAATCGTATCAAACTTGCCTGACTGTCCGTAAGGCTTCTTATTCTCACCTCTGTTTTCACGAGTTGGGCTGGTGCGCCGCCTTGGCGGCTATGTGGCCGCCGTCGCCGCCCTGTCGCCACCTCGTCGCGGCCGCCGTCTGGGCTCGTCTGCTGGTCTGGCAGCTGTGTTGCAGCCGTCGCCGCCCTGTCGCCGCCTCGTTGCCGCCCATCGTTTGAGTCTGTGCGCCGCCATGGCGGCCGTGTGTTGCCGCCGTCGCCGCTCCGTCGCCGCCTCGTCGCCGCTGGTCGCCTGGGCCTGTCGGCTGGTCTGGTGGCTATGTTGCCGCTGTCGCCGCTCCGTCGCCGCCCCGTCGCCGCCTCGTCGCCGCCACGTGAGCTGTTCCACATAGACTGCTCCATCCAGATTGTGTGTTTGCGAACAAGGAGTAGGGTGTACCACCCCCCGAAGTTGGGATTGTCCCCGTTTATATATCGATCCTGCCCCATCGTTCGATGTAAATTTGACTTCGTATCATCCCAGCCAGGCTGGGTCGGACCCTCCCCCCCGCACCATCTTTTGTAAAAAGCAGTACGCGCGCACATTGCATGTTGATCAAAAATCATCAATTCCCCGAATCCCTCGCAAAACAAACTGACGAAATGCACGCGCGCATCTTCGCTCGCTCATGCCGACATCCTTCACACAACTGACAGGTTTCGCATCGATTTCGAGATCGAGTGTCCCGGAAACATCTAAAACACATGGTTTTGCAATATGGTTTTCCCAAGTGTTCCGACGGTAGGACCCCACACGAGAATCTCTTTAGCTTGCCCGTCGCTCTTTCTTCGTCGCCATGGCGGACGCCCTTCTCCCGCCCTCTGCTGCGCCTCCTCCTCGTCCTCTTGTCCCCGCTTCCTCCTCGTCCTTTTCCCCATCCTCCCCGTCCTCCTCCTCCTCCTCCTCCTCCTCCTCCTCTTCCTCCTCTTCCTCCTCCTCCTCATCCACCTCATCCTCTTCCTTCTCCTCCTCCTCCTCCTCCTCCTTCTCCTCATTTCCATCCCGCCTGCTCTCATCATGCACGTCTCCTTCCTTCTGGCCGGGGCACGAGTACCGATTTTTCTCAGCACCTTCGCCGCCACGGCCAGAAAGGGCGCGTTCTCCGATGGCCGGATCGCGAAGGCGTTGGGGCTTTCCCGTGGGCCAAGCCGTTGGGACAACCCTTGTGCCCGATTCGGGCGCGGAGGGGTTACCACCCGCGCCCTGGACGCAAAGGTTTCCCCCTTCGCCCGAATCGGCCGTCGATCGGTTACAGCCGGCGGCCCGGACACAAGGGTTTTTCCCTGCGCCCGATTCGGCCGCGGATGGGTTGCCACCCGCTGCCCGGGCACAAGGGTTCTCCCCTGAACCCGACCTTTGCCGACCGTCGTCGTCGTCCTCTCTGTTCCTCCTCATCCTCGGCCTCGTCCTCGACCTCGTCCTCGTCCTCGTCCTCCTCGTCCGCATCCTCGTCTCCCTCCTCGTCGTCCTCCTCCTCGTCGTCCTCCTCGTCGTCGTCCTCCATGTTCTTTTCCCTCCTCCTCCTCCTCCTCCTCCTCCTCCTCCTCCTCCTCCGCCCCTCCTCCTCCTCCTCCTCCTCCTCCTCCTCTTCCTCCTCCTCCTCCTCCTCCTCCTCCTCCTCCGCCCCCTCCTCCTCTTCAGATGGCTCGAGGGAGTAGCCTCTGAGAGCCTGTGGGACGCCAGCTGAGATTCCAGTTCCCAGGAGATGGGCGCCCTGGTCCGAGCGCGAGCATGCCGAAGCCTGCTCCCCATATGCATAGATCCCAGAGGAACCCCAAAATTACGAAAGTTGCAAGGTTTGGATTGCCCGCTTCGACCGTGAAGTACGGGCCCCGTAGGGAAAAGGCTCCCGCTTGAGATTTCCTCGCGATTCAGGCGAAGCTCCCGCTCGAGACTTCCTCCATATTCAAGCCAGGAAAGCCCAAAGGTGACGACAGCTACAGGTTTCCGATAACCCGCCTCGGATTCGAGTGTGAAGTGCGGGCCCCATAAGAACGGGGGTCCCGTTTGAGACCTCCTCGCATTTCATTCACACACGAGGCTCCCGCTCGAGGCTTCCTCCATACCCAGGCCAGAGAAGCCGAAAAGTGACGACAGTTACAGGGTTCCGATCTCGGATTCGAACGTAAAGCGCGAGCCCAATAGGGAGGGGGCTCCCGCTTGAGACCTTCCTCCCGCTCGAGACCTTTTCCATACCCAGGCCATATGACAGGTACAGGTTTCCGATGGCCCGCCTCGGATTCGAACGTGAAACGCGGACCTCATGGGGAGGGAGTTCCCGCTTGAGACCTCCTGGCGATTCACTCGCACACGATGCTTCCGCTCGAGACATCTTTCGGATGAGTGTATGTGTGTGTGTAGGCGATGATGGTGATGATGATGATGGTGGTGATGATGATGAAGGTGATGATGATGCTGATGATGATGATGCTGATGATGATGATAATGATGATGATGTGAGTGTGGTTGTGAGGATGGTGTTGTTAAATATGGTGATGGTGATGATACTGATGCTGGTGATGATGATGATAATGATGATGATGATGATGATGCTGATGATGATGATGATGATGATGATGATGGAGGGGCGATGGTGATGAGGATGAAGACGGTGAGGATGGTGATCATGATGATTACGATGATGATGCTGTTGCTGCTACTGCTGCTGTTGCTGCTGCGGATGATGATGATGATGATGATGATGATGATGATGATGATGATGGTGGTGGTGGTGGTGGTGGTGGTGGTGTGATGACGATGGTTATGATGGTGGTGGTGGTGATGATGGTATTGATGATGCTGATGCCGGTGAGGATGACGAGGATGACGATGGTGGTGGTGATCATGATGATGATGATGATGATGCTGGTGATGATGATGATGATGATGGTGATGTCGATGATTATGATTATGATGATGATGATGCTGATGATGATGATGATGATGATGATGATGATGATGATGCTGGTGATGCTGATGGCGATGATGACGCTGCCGACGACGATGATGATGACGATGCTGACGATGCTGACGATGATGACGATGATGATGATGATGATGATGATGCTGATGATGCTGATGATAATGACGATGCTGATGCTGATCATGATGACGAGAATGCTGATGATGCTGCTGATGCTGATACTGATGCTGATGCTGATGCTGATGACGACGACGACGATGATGATGCTGATGATGATGCTGATGATGATGATCTTGAGGGTGATGGCGATGATGGTGCTAATGATGATGCTGATGATTAGGATGATGACGACGACGATGATGCTGCTGCTGATGATGATGATGACTATGATGACGATGATGACGATGATGGTTATGCTGATGCTGATGATGATGATGGTGATGGTGATGATGATGATGTTGATGATGATGGTGGTGATGATGATGATGATGATGATGATGATGATGATGATGATGAAGATGATGATGATGATGATGATGATGATGATGATGATGATGATGATGATGATGATGTTTATGATCATTCGCACATCTCGCTGAGAAAAAAAGCGCAACCCAGATATCTGATCAACTGTGCGATGTCCCTGCACTTCTTGCGGTCCAAGAGTCCCCACTCCTTGTGGGTGGATTCGTAGCCGACAGACGCGCAAGCGTCCCAGCCTGAGTCCCACGCCATCCGACGTATAGGAATGGTCGCGGGAGCCCGAGTGCAGGGCCGAACACGGGCCGAAGGAGGTAGACCATCCGAGTCTCCTACGACTCGTTCTGGACGAACACACTGCTGCAGAGCCTCTAAGCTCTCGAAACAGATCGACGCACACGACATGCGAAGGTGAAGTTATGAAAGTCAGCCGTATTCCGAGGTCGTACGCGGGCCGAGTCTAACTTATGCAGAAAAGACACCACGAGAGAGGGCAAGAGGAAGAGGGCGAGACGCGAGAAGAGGACGGAGAAGAAGAAGAGGAGAGGAAAGCAAGCCTCCTGCTGCGGTGCCTCATTTGCGGCGCCCTGTGACCTGCGCGGGCGCGTCTAGGTTGAA